TTTCCCTTTCCGCAGTCCATTGCTTTAAACACCAGATAAAATACGGGAAGTGCAAGTAAGTGAGAAGATCAACAATCTCTTCTCTTGCTTAAAAACCTGCATTTCTTCTCCTTGACTCTGCTCTTATTTCCCAGAATCCTCCTACACTTGCTAAATCCTGATAGCATCTGTAGTTTGAAGACTGTGAGCAATCAGTTTCTGTTATGCCTTTGAACACGCACACAAAGGCACTCAAATGCACATGATGACGATGAGCATATTGAGAGATGCTATCAGCTGTAAACAGATTTCTCAACCACAAATAGCACAAGACTCTGAGGGGCAGGGATAACTGTTCCTAAGAAAATCCCAGCAGCTTTGTCCCCGTTCAATAACCAGCTGTAGGAGAAAGTTGTAAGGAAGGAGGAAGCAAGACTGCAGGTGTTCACAGAATTTACAGCAGAGCTGGAAGGGTGGCAAACCAGTGGCGAGAAACTATTGATCTGTTGCAGAATGAAGCTGTTATCGCTGCTGGAACAGGGTGGGGGATAGGCAATGGGTATCAACATGCTCATAGCTGTGAGGAATAATGGCACACTATTTCTGTCAGCTTCAGAACATTGGTACTCCTAACACTGTCAGACGTCTCTAAATACCACTTTTCAGTCTGCCTTCAGATTTTGTAAGGCACGCTCCACAAACCAAACTCCCCAAACAGATGCAGTAAGTTCAGGTGCTCATTATTTTGCACTATTATCATTATAAGCTTGATGAGATAGCGCCTTGATATTACTGAATGATCTGGAGTCGCTCAGTGTTTTCCACTATGTCTTTGAACACCCACTGGTTATGAGATGACTACGGGCCCATAAGCAGGGCTCGGAGTTGCAAGATGCATCAAGCCACGGGGACAATTACACCTCTACAGCAGCTACTGCATCTATCGACAGTAGAAAATGGGGACAAACATAATGCAGTAATGACAGGAGTTCCCAAAGATGCAGAATCTACTCTCTCTCGGCTTAGCGCAGTGACAGGGCATCTCAGACTCTAACTTGTGCATTTCTTCAAAAGTTTGTCCACATCCAAGTCCTTTGTAACAATGTCCTAACGAGACAGGGGCAAGCAGAGAGAGCAGCTTGACATTATCAGGATGAGAAAGATGCCCAGGCTGCAAAGCTGGCCAGTGCCACTGGCTGCAATGCTTGACAGCTTTCTGGGTGTGTTTTTTTCCCCCTTACTTTTGCCCCCTTTACCTTGGCTCATGCTGTGGCAATCAATGCATATGTTGATGTCGCATGGGGGTTTGCAACTCAAGCTAGACCTTTAAGTCACCTGTGTCCCTGGGATGGAGCTTGCTTAAACAGGATCCTGCAAAGTGCCTGGCGCTTTGTTTCTGTTTTAACTTGTTTGTGCCAGGTTTTAGGATGAAGATTTAGTTCCACAAAATCACATTTGAAGTCATAATAGGATTGGTTCAGGACCAGGAAATTCCTTTTGGAGGAGTCTATTGCTCACATCACCTTAACTGGTCAGATGTTGATTTTGTCCAGAATTGAGATTGAAAGTCCCAAAAAGTAGGAAGTCTGAAGTGGCACTCAAGGGATCCTCTACCTGCTGGCACAAATTGCCAGCAATTCCCTTGAGACATCAGCTTACAGATTGACATTCCTATCCTTGAAGGTGTGGGAGATTCAGGATTTACAAACAGGCATTTTTCCTGTCTGACATTTTCCTAATGTGTGTCTATCACTGTCTGTGACTGCCTCATTCACAGGCATTGCAGAGAGTTTGCTGTTTACTGAGAGGATTGCCCGGTGTGAACCTGAGGTCAAAAGAAGTTCGCTATATCTAACATCTCTTTCAAATTAACAGTAACTATAGTCAGCTCTATGGTTAGAGCTCATAAGTTGAGCTATGAAGAGAAGCAGCTTTGCTTTGAAACGTCTGAAAGGAAGCAAGGCATAGCAGGAACACTCTGCCCTCCGGTTCATCAGCAAGGCAGAGGGGAGACAGGCATGTATGCCCTGCAGGTAAGCATCAGCCAAAAATGTGCTGAACTCAAAAGGGCTACTGATGCTTGATGATGTGACCTTCCAAATTCTTTACTTCCTTTAATTATCATCACTTCTTAGCCCTAACTCTATTTAAGGAATTGATTATGAAAAGTTCCTAGGATTTCACATCAGTTTTCCCCTGCCTATTTAACCAGCTAACCTCCACTCCTCTGGCAGTTCATCGCTTTCTCATACTCCCTAGCCTGAACATTTCAAGAGGTGAGAGAAAACAAAAGGGCATGACCATCATGAAGAAGATAGAACCACTCCCCACCCCCCCTTCATTTTAGTGACTAATCCCCAAAACTCCCCTGGGAGCTTGAGTGAGGTGTACAAATTCTGCTTTTCTTCTGCAGAAGACAGGCCATTCTTCCCTAGGCATCAGGAAAGTGGGGAAGGCATTCAAACAATCACGGGAGGCAGGGGCTCCAGAATGGCAAAATAGCTGGCAAAATTCAAATGCCAGGTTGCAATTCAAAGCGTGCCAGGTGCTACCCTGTATTTTTTTGATAAAGTACTTCATTACTTGCGTCTTACATCGTTCAAATTGAACTCTCTTCCTCACACTTCCCTCTCCCTCCTAACCAACCCCTTAAAACCTCCCTGCCTCTCCCTCAGTGTTTGAACACTATAAGAAATGAACATAGGTCTCACCTGTGACTTTTTGTCTCGTTCCTTCAACAGACTGCACGTCCATAGGTTGAAACTCACAGGCTATCTGTTACCCTTTAGATAACATCTACTTCCATGAGATCACCAATATTTCGCTGGAAAATAGGAGATGCAGTCAGGCTGAGATCCTTATTTCTCACTAAATTAGTCTTTTTACTCTTCACAATGTTTTCTCTTAAAAGAAAACAAAAATATCTTTCAACAAAAAATTAACCTCCAAAACCAGGGACTGGCTGATGAAAGGATGCCTAAAGCATGCAAAGATCTGGACTAACAGGTCTGAGGAAACTACCAAATTATTTACATAGGTGCACTGTTTGCCATTGCCTAAAGCATGTCACCAGAATCAGAAAAGAGAGGAGGGGTCAATTTTATGGAATCTGTCAGGCATGTTGCAAGTAACAGCTCATCCTTGTATCCCAAAAGTGTGTTCCTTATCTTTGTCTACTCAGAATTAGGACTACAGATACCAATCTAGCCTAGCACAACTTCTGAAAACCAATGAAAGAAATTGAGCCTTGCAAAGAATACATAGTTGTGTCAGTCCAAGTCTGGGTCTCAGACATAGGACATGCTTTGTTGACATACAAAATCCTTTTCAGGAAAATGTTAATATTACACTTACCTGGAAAGGAAGCTTTACTTTGGCTTCTCCAAATGCTGGAATTGAGCTTGTGATACTCTACCTCTGACCACTCTCCCCTCATACCAGCCCAAATGATTACACCCCAGAAAAGCAATCCTGCGTAACAGCAATTACTGTGCTTGTATTTTCTTCTGGCTTTTTATTTCTGTTCCGTAGGCAAATGTATCCTAAGTAACAACATTTAACTCAGGAAAAATTCACATTGTGTCTCATGACTTAAAAACTCCCAAACTTATTAAAGAGCAGTAACTTAGAATCACACTGTATTTTTGCAAAATCAAAAAGAATCCTGTTTTGGTTGAGTTCTGACTGATAAGCTGGGCAAAGTGTCTGCCACTGCTCAGACTGCAAGTTTTCTGCAATATTTCTGGAAAATTTATGAGTTTTCAATTTGTTCTGGGTTTTGTTTGTTTGTTTGTTTGTTTTTTTCCCCTGCTTTTTATGCTTATGTTTTGGGCATATTCCACTAGACTAACTATTGGCAAAGCATAAACATCCATCTTGATATTAAGCTGCTATGGAGAATATTAAGAAGTTTCCAGTACACCCACAGGAAAAAATCTGCTTCAGTGTGGACTGGTACAAACTCAATTGCCAAAGTTTGCACATGAGTGCATACATAAACACACACACACAGAAACAATACATGGGTGAGAATGAACTTTAAGAAGCAGCTTGAGAAAAAAAACACCCTGAAATGACCAATAATTAATTCAAAATACGGACAGCTTTCAACAGTACCACAACTTCTAATGTGATACTTTCCCATGTATTTTATCATTTGTCAAGTTTTCCAGACCTTCTCAATCAAACATATACCTAATACCATTAATTTGTTACAGCATTTTTTAATTCTTTTTGGAAGTGCAGCATATGTACGTCTTCTAATTTTTTTATACCATACATATCTCATTCTAAACTCAGAGATTTCCATAGTTGTCATTAAAAAGCACGTAGACAAAATATTTTATGATATCTATAATAAATGCAAAGAAATCAATACAAACAAAACTTGGCTTAGCAAACTGTACATACATAAATATGTCCTCTGTTTTTCAACTTGACATTCCACATTTTTCCTCATAAACCCCTTTATGATCTTATTTATTACATCCATTTTTTTAAACCTTAAAAAAGTGCTTCTCAGATTTACACCTTGTGCATCCAAAGCAAAAGTTAGAACACCATGCCTGAAACAGAAACCACGGGGAATAATACATTGCCATATAAGATCCTTTAAAATTGTATGTTACAAACGCTCTAAAATTTCTTTAGCATTGGTTATTTTGTATACTGTAGATACTGAGAGGGTTTATAACAAAGACTGGCTAATGGCTCATTTAGAGCAGCACACAGGAAAGGATCTACAGTATCAAGTCCTTGGCTATGCATAGTACAGGGCAATGACCTGGATATAAAGTGGCTAAAAGATCCAGAATGCTGGACAGAAGGACATTTCCCTCATACACATCACATCCTCCTTAGTACCCAGGATGCGAGTATTGAAATGATGCTACTCAGGTAATACGTTGTGCAGTTTGATACCGATACACTGATGCGTTACTAGCTGAGTGCCAGCAGAGAATGATATGGACACAGCAGTGGTTACAGCAGGTAGGTAAAGCTGCCACACTGAATTCTGACACCCTTTAAAACCATCCTGCCTCCCAGCTAGCACTCCAGCAAGGTCACCCGCTGTCTCATGAGTCTCCTTCATAATGGAGGTGGGCCATTCACGTATTTTAGCATGGGGTGGAAAGAGCGGGCAAAGTTGTTGGCCATAGCACAGCTGTAGTCCTCCTTGGTCATTGGCACCAGGCAAGCCAGCCCGATCAGCAGCAGCAAGAGGAGCTGAAGTGGCAGAGCAGCTCTGAGGACTCTGAGGAAGAAGGACGGGCGCTGCCACGTTGGCCCAGCCTCAGAAGGGCAGGAACCTGAGCCACCTCTTGTGGACCTGAGAAGAGAGGACGGGCAGGTGAACACACTAGAACATCACTGCAGCAGAAGTTGCCTTCGGGCACTCAGCCTTCCCTGAAGGCTGGTTTACAATTTGTACAGACTTTGACTGACAACTGCAGAGGTATTTTTCACTGAACATGCTATTTCCCCTAACACCCTTAAGAGACCCCATATTTCTAGACTGGATAGGAAAACACCAAATGATCACAATAGAATGGGCTTTGTGACCTCACAGTCCCTTCATCAATTATGGGGAAGACTCTCGACTGAAAGTGCTGCGCTCTAGAGAAGGGGAAAATAAAAGCTGGGCCATACCTGTCACATGTGTTTAATGCCTCCTCATTTAAAATGACAGTTGCATTCAGTTTGCAGAAGTTTCTACATTCCTTTCTGTATATAGTATCCGCAAGGGTATAATGCAGTAAGATTCAGTTACATCAATCTTCACTTAATTAATACACCAATATGCGGGCAACGGGGACTCATTTTCTACAAAGTACATTGTATTTTGAATCTTGCATTGAATCAGCAGTTAAAATCCGTTTGCTGAACTGACTTGACACCATCACCTTCTGAGTGATTTTATCCCTTGTGTCTATGGATCTGACTTGAAATGGCAAATATCTATCACATGTCAATGGGAGAGGTGAGGCCTAACACAAGCATTTCCAAAGGAACACTTCAAATTAAGCACAAAAATCTGATCTATTTTTTAATGAAAGATAAAGACATAGATTTCACATTTTCCTTTTTGAATGAAACTGTCAGAGCTCTAATATATGGATGAAATGTTTTGAGATAAGTGGATGACTGAAAAGAGTGATTATGCAGGTTAAAATCTGAGGGTCTCAGTGTGATAACTAAATGGCATAGGAAACATTGTAAAAAAAATGTATTTTAGCACGAGCCAAAAATGTAACAACTTAGAGCCTTCAAATAATTTGCTACAAGAACTCTTCCATTAGGATATTAGGTCATGAATTTTCTGTTAGACATGTTGCTCTAAAACATTTTTGTCACTGCTATGATTATGAAGCCCCAGAAAATATACGGTTTGTTAGGGTTTAAGAGAAAAATGCTCATAAGGATGGATTTAGTCTCAACCTGAAGGTGTGAGAGATCAGGCTGCTTGGCTGAGGTCAAATGCTTGCCAATAAAGCAAGTAGGGGGTGATGGTTCCTTACTGTCTCCTCGCCTTCCCCTTGTCCTTTTGATCCTGTCTCCCAGATAAATCCGAACCTCTGTAAGAAAGCATGCAAAACTCAAAATACCATCTTCATAACTGTGCCAGGCTTGGCAAGGGTCCCCTTCCAACATGTTCAGAAAAGAAGTCTCTCTATGCTGGAGATTATTTCTACTGTCTTGTTCATATATACGTATCACCCCTCTATGAAGACTTGAAGAAAGCCAGACAGATTTGGTAAAGTCTAGATGACCAACAGATACATAAACACTCAGGTATGCTAAATGATTAACTTGACCTAAATATCCCAGGAAGGAATGATGATCAAAACATCAGATCACATGTTTTGTAGCCCGGATGGCAAGCTGCTTATCACATAATGTAAGATCATATATTATAAAGAACATATTGAAAGGATATGGCACATTTAACAGCATCAGAGCATTCCATATTAAATTTCAATTAGATCAGGGCTTCTACTGTCCAAGAATGCCAAGACAGAGAGTTAATGGACTGAGGTAGGAACAAAAGGAACAAGGAGTGCTTAATTACCTTCCAAGCATTTGATTGCACAGTCTACCTATTTACAAGGCTCTCATTGTACAAATGTTGTTAATCCCAATCAAAAAAGGCCACATTTCTGCAGTTGGTAACTACTGTTTGATAATGTACAAACTCTGAATTTTCTTCGTTGACTCAGAGTTACTCTGGGGCAACGGTGGGTGTCAGAAGGGGAATTTCCAAAAAGCGGAATCAAAAGGGAGCAGGCAAAGTTAGCATTTAATTTTTCTTTTCTTTTCCTATGGCTTTAGTAGCACAATCCATCACTTTTTGCTTTGTGTTTTACCAAAAAAAGAAGAAAAATAGTGGTATGTGTAAGCCACATGGCTGACCTTAACAAGGAACACAAACTTACTTTCAAAAAACAGCTCATGGCAAAATTTTTCAAAACACTTTTTCTGCAGTGAAGAAGGGTGTTGAGGAATAGTTTCTAATACTGCATAGAAACAATTCAACAATCAAATAATGAAACATTATGAAAACACCTTCAGAGGGGGTGTTCTAAAAAGCTCAAGTGCTGTACCGCCTGTGTTTATTGCAGGTACACCTCTGTAATTTACATAATTGCCTGCAAAACAGAATGGCTCAGCTTAGAGTGTTGGTAAGGAGAGATGGTCAAAAATATACATTGTTAATAAAGAAGGCTCACTGTTCATAAGGGCCGGAACTCCTATTTACTCCAGCAGGTGAAGGGAAAGCTGAAGCATTGTATGCCACTTTGGAGAAAAATGTAATGTCTTTTTCTTGAGCTTGCATCTCTGGCTGTCTCTCTTCTGACTACTCCTCTATGTGTCACACTGGCCCCTGTTTGAGGAGGGAAGGAAGGAAGGCCATCTGCTACTCGCTCCATACAAAATTCCTACTAACTAGATAAAAGGCAGAGGCACAGCTGCAGATCTGGCCAACAGTAAGCTTCTTCACATCGACATATCTCATAAATTAACCTAAGAAGTGCAAGAATAGTTACCCTTACTTTGGGAGTTTGTAATGTCGGTGAAATTGGAACTCTTCCCTAAGTATTTCAAGAGCGGAGAAGCTAATTTACCAGACTATAGATCAGATGGGCAAAGTGAACTTTAATTTCAGCACAGACGAGTACCTTATTTTAAAGATGACCCTTTTTTTTTTTTTTCAAGGAAAACATGGATCAAGTAATCTATCTGTATTGCAGTAAACATCTGAAAGATTGTAACAGAAGAATTTATCATTCAAGTGAAGCTGATAGAAATAAATAGAGTTAAGGGGGAAGTGACTAATGGAATGCAGACAACAGGCTTACATGGGAAGAGGCACTGCTGGGCTAGTAGGATGTTATTTCTGGAGTTAATCAAGGATGAATCTTGATGTAATATCTTTATGAAAAGACTATGGCACAAAGTAGAAGAACAGGAAATTTCATCTGTATGATGACAGAAGTTGGAAGTCTTCACACATACAAAATAGGATTGGCTCTTTGCACAGAAAAAAAGTGCATGAATCCAATAGGTTCAAGAAGCAGCTCAAGGAGTTTATAGTATGTAAGGCAGCAATGAAAAATTCTGCTATAAATTTGGAAGTTCACACTCTGAAGATAATGAAGAGAATCTAGAGCAGTTTGGCACACAGTAGCCACAAACCAATAATGTGGCTTGTCAATAGCTGTGAAAGGGGACAAAAGAAATTTTAAAGTATATTTCAGTTCAAGATTTCCAGAAGAGAAAATGAGTTGTTTTAATGATGTTCTACAAGGCACTACTCAGATCTCACTCAAAGCAGTTTGTATTATTTTTGTTAACATCCTTCTGAAAGATTAATTCAAACTGACACAAGCTTAAAGGAGAGAAAAAAAAAAAAAGAGGAATCTTTCTCCTATGAAGGAAATAAAGAGCTCAGCTTACCGATATAAAGCCTGAGAGATGCTAAAACTACTCTATAAAATAGTGCAGAACAGACAGAAGGAAGGGTGAACTAAAGGAAGGGACAATGTTTGCGCAAACCCAAATGATTACATCTAACCGTGGATACATTCAAGGTGGAAATTATTCTACATCCAGATAAACAGAGAAATTAAATTTAATAATGACCTTCTAATAGACTTTTTGTTCCCACTGATTCCAATTTTTTAAGATGGAGATCGCTAGAGTTATGAAGGAGAAGGTATGATGCTCTACCCACAAGAGCAGGCAACAACTCCTTTTGGTGGCCTAAGACTCTCTAGGGGCAACCTTGCTTGGCTGCGTTCTGACTTTGATTCTCTCCCTAGCTCTCAGTATCACATCACTCCAACCTCAGATTTGGCTTACCCTGTAAAGAAGATGAACACATCCATTTCAAAGGCAGTTAAATATGAAGTTTAAGTAACAAGCTTTAAGTAAGAGTGTGGGAGACAATTGGGAGAAGAACCACGGCAAGTCAAGCCCAAACCTTGTGTTTGAGCTACTGGCAATGACTGCCATTTTGTGGCCAAAGGCACAGAGAGTGCTGTGGCCTAGTCTGTTCTAGGAACAGAAAGTGACCTTTAAAGATCCACTAGTCATTTGGGGAGGCCTGGGGAGAGCAGGAAATGGAGCTTGGCACTGTGGCACCAAGACTTGAATAGAGCTGCTCAAGAGAGACAATATAAACAAGTCTGAGCAAACTGAACCACAATTTTAATCTTTTTAACATTTTAATCACTTCAAAAAATTCCACAGGCGCAGATCCAGGTGTGCATTTACAACAGCTCTATTAAACTGATGAAGGAAGTGGAGTTGCTTCATGGATTTGCTTTTCCCACTTAGCACATGAGTACTAATACCTGTTGAATGAGCCTTTAGTTAAATCCACAAAGTGACATCTAGTTTAAGATTGTACCTTGCCGAGCATCACACTATGTATGCTTGTCTTTTTGCTGTGATAATGGGGAAGGCAAAATGGTATCACACTTGTTATACACAAAACACAGACCCTCTAATTTTTAAATGAACTTTCCTTCACAATGTCCTATGTGACAAACCTTTTAAAATTGACTTTAGCTCTCCTGTATAATAAACTTTAACAGGGTTTGCTGATCCAGTGCAAGATCAAACACAAAGTACTCTGATCAGAGGCATGTCAAAATATTAAAGAACACAGTGACAGCTTGTACCGCTTTATCAGTTAAAACCACATTATACATCAACCGCAACCTGTCTGGCTTGCGCATTTGATTAAGTTTCCTATTCAGCAGTGACTCATTCGTATTCCATGCTTGTCTGAATGACAAATTGAACATTGTGTTGTACTGCTACAAGATGTGTTAATAAACAGTGCTGGAAAGACTTGATCTGAAAGGTGCCGCACCAATGACACTGCTAGAATAGAGGCTGATCTCAAAGCTGCAAAGCGTTGCTAGCTGCGTTTTGAGCCAGCGGCTCGCACCTACAACCAGAAACCTTCTCAAAAGAGTGGCAGAAGTGGTCTGACTATACAGGAGAGCGGAAGGGTGCACACAATACGTTTCTTGAGTACAACGGTGCTACTGCAAGCATGCTGATCTGCTGGAGACATCCTCCATTCCTCCTAGCTGTTACTGGCTGCAGAGTAAAGCCCCACTCCTCCCTTTTCCCACTCCCTATAAGAAACAAAATACCAAGCTTTGTAGCAGACTGGAGATGGAAAAATTAATTCTCCTTCTCCATCAGACAGAAAGATGGAGTCACCTCCATAGGTGACATATGTCACCTATTTTCTGTGTGGTTTCCTTACATTTCGAAGAAAAAAAAAAATCCCTAAAATTGAGGCAGCTTCTTAGTGCCAGTGGAAGCCATGGAAGGTGCTCCACCTGTTCTACCTGCTGTGCTATGTGGTTTTGCAACTATGCCACTTTACTCACAGTCACTAACTATACATACATAGCAAACTTTTTTTTTTAAAGAAGTGTTTTTATATATATCTACATGGTAAGTAGTTTTATTCTTTATTTCATTTATTTTTGAGAATGATTTTGCTGAACAAAGCTTTGGTTTTGCTCATGAAAAAGTTAATACTCTTAAGGTATTTTTTTTCTGCTTGGTTATTGCTCAATCACTGTATTCAATCTAGCGTTGCCTTCTTTCCAACATCAAATCTTTCACTTTAACAGGAATTATTTTGCAAATGAATTAGTTAATTTCAGATATATAGAGAATAAATGAGATTTAGGACTTAACTGTAAGAACAAATACATTTTCATCATACTTTCTGATTAGTTTAGGTGTTGCAATGCGTAAGATGCTTAAATAGCAAAAATGTCCTCTTTATACATATTGGCCTGCTCACGTAGGTTTGTTTTGTTTTTTTTGCTTTTTTTTTTTTTAACTTCATAACTCTAGAGGCTAGTGAACTGATCAGTGAAAGAGTGAAGGTAGACAGATCACACTGACAACAACAAAGAATGCAGAAGCACTGTTAGCCGCAGAGATGACAGGTTGCTGGAGACAAGGTGGAAAGCAAAAAGCTGTAGCTGCAAGCCTGCTCTCTACTGGTCAGACAGAGATGGGGCAGTGCTGCTCCCAGAGCCATACATGGATGCAAGCACTTGGCAAGAGTCATGGCAATGTTAGCGCATTATATTGCAGTTGGCTAAGGAGGGGAAAGTGATTGCAAGTCTCAAAACCCTCAAATCCTGACTTTTAATTTTGAGTCTGAAGTACTGAAAACCCACAAACTGAACAAAACTTTTCGGGG